AGGGATACCCATTCCCAGACGAAGATGTGCTGACCTCGGAAAAGGTGGAGGCCAACTACCTGGCATTCACACGGAGCTGGGGCCGCTTTGGCCTGTCCAGGGTGTGCGAGTCGTGCCGCACCTTCACAACCGGCAAACACTGCAGACCAGCAAAGGAGACAGGCAGGATGCTCTGCAAGAATTGCCGAGAAAAGACCACCAAGATCATCTTGCCGCCTCCGCCGGCAATCCCCGAAGCGCTCCAGTGCCTGCAGCCCATCGAGCAGCACCTTCTCGCCATGGCCCGGATTTCCCAAGTCCTGCTCGACAAGCTTCCCGCAGGCGGCCCGAGCGCACAGTGGGGCCGCATGTATGCAGTGCTGATGGACGAACCATGCATCTGCAACGTTTTGGAGGGAGCAACGATCGAGGATGACGGCACAGTCTCGGTGGAGGGCATCCACGGCGCGACCACTTCGCCAGCGCGCCTGGACAGCTTGTTTGCAGGTCTGCAGGAGCTCAAGGCCCACCACCGCCTGTATCGGGAAAGCGCTGCCGTGGACGAGGCCTTGGCAAGAATGGCCACGATCCTAGCTAACAGGGGGCTTCCATCCACAACTGCAGCGGTGCGTGCAGACCCCGAAGCCTGCCGAGGGCGCCAAACGGGGGAGTCCGGTGGCTCACACTCCCCGGCCTCGGCGGCGGAAGCGTTGCACTCCGAAGATGAGGAAGCGCAGGAAGAAGATTTGGAGATGACGTACATGATCCCCAAAGAGTTGAGAGCTCCCAGAGCCGAAACACAAGATATGCAAAGGACCCGGCGCATCGCAGAGCTCAGCGACGACATGGACGTCAAGTTCTTCCCGCACCTCTTTCCCACCGGTGAAGGCGGATGGAAGGAAGAGTACGGCAGCTTCTCCCAATACGCCCGCAAGCGGCTGCTGGGCCCGGATCCGCGCTTCGAGGCGTCCGCTGGGTATATCATGTGGCTATTGGAAATGCACCTCAAGAAGCGTCTTTCGGGCAACGTGAACGTCAGGATCGGCGGCCAGCAGGTTTCCAGCAAAAGCAACAGGCACCGGGGCGGCAAGGGGCAGGTCTTCGCGGCCCTCCGGGACATCCCTGGAACAAGCTCGTATGTGTATGCCAAGAGAGGCGTCGCAATCAACATGTACGAGCAGCTTGGCACACCCAACTTCTTCATGACCCTCACCTGCCACGCCCGGCAGCCCGACATCCTCCTCGCCGTCATCATGGCACGGCTGCTGCGCCTGCGACCAGAAAGTCCGCCGAAAGAGACCGAATACCAAGCCGCACAAATCTTGCACTGCTACCAGGCCGACGAAGACTTCACCTGGGACGGTTTGTCACCGAACCAGCTCTGCAATCAGCACCCGGCAGTTGTGGCGAGACAATTCATGCACCAGGTGACTCAGCTGATGTATTGGCTCTCTGCCGAGCGCGAAACCAAGAGTCACCTTGACGAAGACGTGGATGTGGAGGACGAGCCTGCCAGAGGAACGCCTGGAGAGGAGGACGACTTTGTTCAGGCACCAGCTACGGATGCGGCGGGCAGACACCGCCGAGTCTTCAAGGACCGGCCGCCCTTCAGAGTGCTCGACTACATCATCCGCATCGAGTGGCAAAAGAGGGGCTACCCGCATGCTCACATCCTCCTGTGGACGGTGGAGATAGAGACCAGCAAGGAACGCAAGGAACAGGAGAAAGCGCCCGAAGCGGAAGCCAAGCCCGACTGGTCAGACGAAGAAGCCATGGAGACCTTCATGCCAACCTGCGCTGAGGACTTGTGCGACAAGCATATCTGCACCAAATCGGCGTTTACGTGGAGGCAATCGACGAAAGTCCGGCCCAGGGATCTAGAAGTGAACGCGAAGCTGGCCGAGCTGCTGGTGCACAAGCACACCAAGTACCCAGAGAACCCAATAGTCCATTCAGGAAAGCGCCTTTAAACATTCATCTTTAATTAGAGTTTATAGTCCTTAAATTCATAGGCCTTAATTAAGGTCTGTTACCTTCCTTAATTAAGGTTCATTATTTCTATATATATTTTATATACACATATACATATTTTCTTCTTTTTGCACATGCATGCATGCACACAGGAGAGTTATTGTATGCTCTCCTATATATACGCATGTCCACACATGCATCATGCATGCATTGCAAAATTTTTGTTGCCATGTTTTGGGATGCATGCACTGCATGAGACGGACTTGAATGCACGTTCGACACATTAGATTTATGTGTTGTCTTTTTTTTTCGGCTCAAGCTCCGGGCACGTCTACGGAAAGGTCACAAGAAGACCACCGGACAGAGTTTTTGCCCTTGCAATCATGGTTGCAGAGGAGATAGTGCTGCATTGCTCTGCTGGAAGTTTGCTATTATTCTGCGACTTGCATGTATACAGGATCGCTCAAGATCGAGATCGCCACGGCCTGTTCGCTTGGAATGGCGATGGTGTTGGAAAAGCTTTTGGCTCGGAGAGACGCAGCGACTTTCATGCAGACGGTTTTAATCGACATGCACGTGTTGAAACATGTTTTATTGTTTGCGATCGATTTAATGCAAGGATTTGGTACTGGATATGGTGGAGGCATCCCCGTGATTGAGCCTGCAACACCGGTGCAACCTAGATAATTCGGTTTTCCATGCATGGGGGCCAGCGAGCTACACCCACGGACTCTTGAATATGTGCAGCAGGTCGATCCTGAAGGGATCGAACTTGCAACCATGGAAGCAAAACGAAGGTGCAAGATCGCGAGTGCATGCTTGAACTGGGCACGCCTGCAATTTTTTTGTTTCGTTTGTTTGAGCATGCTTTAACCTAGCTTTTTCGGCTCAAGCAAGCTGCTTGTATAACTCGATCGATCAATCGATCCTCCTTTTCCTTCAGGAGGACTAGTCATGATGTCGAAGCCAACCGCCAGCCCTACCAAGCCCCGGGCTCGGAACACCGCCACCGATGAGCAGGTAAAGAAGATTCTCAGGAGCAACCTCAGCAACCTGGGCACGGCTTACAAAGAGACGGACATGGAGCTGATCGTGGCAGGCTATGAATCCTTCATAGTCGATTTTCTCAAGGTCTCACCAAGGCTGGTAGCGAAGCAGCTCAGCCGTTGTGCGGCAAAGGTCTTTGAAAAAGAATCCTCGGCGGACGTTGATATGTTCGCCCGCCAAGTTGCGTATTCGCTGAGCTATGTTCGCATCAAAATGAAAGCCGTGACGTCTGGCAAGAAGACTCACCCGGCTATCAAGCGGGTCTGCGAGTGCTTGCAGAAGCTAGATGCAGATGAGCTTCAGCAGCAGGATCGCCTGAGTTCGCTTCGCAAGAGAGTGCATAGCCCAGACAGGTCTGCGGGCGGCATGCACATGTGGAAAGGGTGTGCGAATATAAAGGCGAAGGCCAGTCCTGGCAAGAGGCACAAGTCTCAGTCGTCTCGAGATCCTAGGCCAAGCAAGACAGGCACGACTTCGACTTCGGCATCCACGTCTGCAGACATCTATGCCATGTACGGTATCTCCCGTGGTGCTGAGGAAGCCTTGTCGAAGACGGCTCCTGCATCGCCCGCAATCTCGATCGCTAGCTGCAATACAATTCACAGCTCCGATGGCGAGCCTGCGGAGGATCTCGAGACCGCACCCGCAGAGGAGGCTTCCGGATCCTCGGGGATCACATTGCAGTACTTTTGCAAGGCCTCCTGCAAGTACATCACTCGGATGGCGGACGGCACAGAAAAGCGGCATGCTGTGTTCAAAGGACCTGAAGGATTTCTCAAGACCAAGGTCTTCGGCAAGCTCAAGGACCTGGATGTGCCCAACTTGTTCCTGCAGACCTTCGAGAATGCAGCAGGCCGTGGTGGCATCTCCAAGATCATGAAGCGGCCAGCCGCTAAGAAAACGGCTAAGAAGGCTCCTGCTAAGAAGGCTCCTGCTTCTGCCGGGTCTGCATCTGCAGATGGCGAGGCCGAGGAGCCCGAAGAGCCCGAGGAGCCTGAGCTGTCCACACCCCCGCCCAAGAAGCCAGCGACTCCGAAGTCCAAGTACTCGCCGAAGCCATCCCCGAAGTCCGCAGCGAATCCATCCCCGAAGGCCGCAGCTACCCAGGCTGGCAGTCCGAACAGGGACAGTCTCATGTGTGCCTCCGTCCACTACATCATGGCTTCCGATCGCACTTACATCACCGGCAAGTTCGGTCCAACCAAGGCCTTGCTCATCGAGATCCACTCAAGGAAGTCCGACAAGCATCGGGATCTGGTCAAGGAGCTTTTCCTCGAGGCTGAGCGGCTTCATTCGACTACCCCCTGGGGTGAGCTTCGTGAGCTGATGCGGAACCGCCGTGAGGAGGTCCTCCAGCGGCAGGCTGAGTGATAGCTTGATCGAGGGATGCCAGGGCCCAGCCCGGTTTTGCGGAGATCGATGCAGCTTTGGGCAGGTTTTGAGGTTGATCTTGCCATCGGTTTGAAACAAGTGTGTGTGTGTGTGCACGTGTTTGCATGTCTGTGTGTGTTTTTTTGTGTACATGTGCATGTGCATGTTGGCAATTTTGGCATGCAGAGGAATGCTTTGCGAGGCTCCTTGCATGATTTCTGGCACGAGTTAAGCATATATACATAATATGTAGCTATATATATATATACATAGAAATTTGTCCTGCAGCCCTTTTCATGTGTCCAACCTTGCCCTCAGGCCCGGCTTGCTGTTTTCTTCTTAGCTATGCATGCATCGACCTTTAAAAAATTTTTGTCGCATGAAACTCCTTGCAGGTGATGGGGCCCATCGAGATGATCTTCGAGGTTTATCTGCATGGCATGCACGAGGACTGCCAGTGCTTAATGTTTGCATCTGCATGTTTTCGAAGAGCTAGGCATGCAGGAGTGGCAGTGCTTGAATGTTCGTGTCTCCTTTGAATAGGAAGGCATGAGCACAGCATGCGAGCCTCCTGAGATCGCGGCTCGAGCGACAAAAGAAGTTCGATCCAATATCTTCTTGTGCGAACAAGCATGGGTGCCGCCCAGTCGACAACGGGTAACAACAACCCGGCGAGCTCTGGCAACACCAATAACACCCCAGCCCCCATCGTGATCCAGCTACAGCTGGGAGCAGAGCAACTCTCCGCACTCACCGGAGCTGTTGCCCCAGGGGTTCACGTGCATGTGCCCCCCAGTGGGTCGGATGCAGCAGGCGGAGCTAGCACGACTCCAGGAGCTGCCCCCCATGGTGCTCCTCCGGTACCGTTTCCGCCTCCCCCGCCTCCAGCGGAAACTGAGCAGTATCTCAGGTGGTGCAACCGCTGCAAGCAGCAGAGCTACTTCAGGGAGGGCATCTGCCTGAACGAATGGTGCTCCGTGCCTTGGCTGCATTATTGTTTTTCTAAACCTTCGACTACTAAACCCTGCAGCCCTTATAAATCAACCTTTAAACCACCAATCACAAACCCCTAAGCCCCTAAACCATGAGATCTAATTTGAAGATAGGAGGCCGGCATTTCGGGGGCTGCCTCCTTAAGTTCGTTGCTTTTGTTCCATGGACAAGATGCTAGCTAAGTTGGCTTGGTCGCGGCCAGACGTGGACTTGAACGTGGCGAAGAACTGGGGTGGAAAGAAAGTGGAGGCTTCGGTGCTCAACCACGGAGTGCACAAAGCAAAGAAAAACCGCGGGCAAAAGCGGAAAATCTGGTGGCAAAAGCACCTGGAAAGAAAGGCCGGCAAGTGGGGCGGCGACTATCAGGGCGACGATGAGGAGAATAAGGAAGATGCGGAGGAAGGCAAGGCCCCTCCTCCTGTGGATCCAAACCACCAGCCCCTGGGCAAGAAGGACGGCCCCGACGATGACCACCACGATGATCCGGGCCGCACAGTGGATTCAGCAGGATCGGCAGGATTGCCGCCGCCGATCCACGTGGTTTAAGGACCGATCCTGGTCGCCTGAAGATGCATCTTCGCTTGGAAAAGAGTTGAGGTGTGCTTTGAAGCCTCGGTTGTTTGTGCTTGCATGTCTGCATGCATGCATATATATATAGCAGTTCATGCATTCTCAAGAAGTCACTTCCTCGCAGGACCCAGACAGTGCCGACGAAGCCGAGGCACCCGGGCTTATCATGCATGGGCTGGGTGCTAGTGTATGCTCCTCGTGCAGGTATATCTACATGCCGAACTGCGGGGACGATGTGGGGCCGGCCCCGCACTGAAGTTTGTGGTCTGTGTCGCTGAGGCTGGCTCTGGGGACTATACCATCCAGGCTGGCCTTGGTCGTGGTGCCGCTGCCTTGGCTGTGTTTGTGTCTGTTCAGGAGACACTCCTCTTCAGCAGGAGTGCCTCCTTGGGGTTTCAGGAGGCGATCCCTCCTGGTGTGCATGGTGTGAATAGATGTAATCTAAACCACCCAAAGATCTAAAACCCTAGACGCCCAAAGCCCTGAAACTCTAGAACCTTAAGCCTTAAAACCCTAAAACCCTAGAACCCCTCAACCCTAAAACCCCTCAACCCCTAAACCCCTAAAGCACCAAACCCCTAAAACCCAAAACCATTCCAACCCTTAAGCCCCAAACCACCGTGCCGCACAGCACGACACCTCGGAGCCGCTGCAGGTGTGCATTCTCCAGGGACTACAACATGGAGGCTGTTGTTGCCAAGTAAGCTCCTGCTCCTGCAGGTGTGGTGCACTGTTGCCGGCCTCGTGTGTTGCATGCCTGTGGCACCGAGGCCCGACTTCACGGACTATGTCGTCGAGGTGGCTGTTGCTGTGGTGTCGTTTGCTGGGCTGTGTTTTTTTCCTGGAGGAGGCAACCCCTGGCTAAGGAATGCCTCCTGGTATGATCTGTTCCAGGAAACCCTCCTGATCAAGGAGGGCTTCCACAGACCAAGCAGTTAAACACTAGTTAAAATTTAACTCTGATTTAACTTGGATTTAACTCCATATATAAGTACCAGGCAACTAACCGGGAGTTAAATGCAAGTTAAATTGGAGTTAAATTTTAACTCCTCTTTAACTTCTCCGTGCCCCTGAGGTGACAACGTGTCTCTGACTTGGCTATGATGCAGGAAAATGAATGGCCGCAGCTTGGGTGCTGTTGTTGCCTACAAGCATGCATATGTTCTGCTCCTTTGCCTCAGCTTTGTTCATCAAGCCAGCTGTCCCCAGCCGTCGTGACACCAGGCCGTCACTCATGGGAAAGCCAGCTGCCAAGAAGGCCATGGCCAAGGCGAAGAACGGTCCCAAGGCAGCACCCAAAGCCACTGCCAAGGAGCTCAAGAAGCAGGAGATGGAGAAGGCTGCTAAGAAAAAAGATCAAAGCAACTTGGTCACTACCCTCAAGAATGCGAAGACCAAGCTCCAGGGAGTGCAGAACGGCACGATTCAGGTCAGCGACGGCGAGCTGGAAAACCTCAAGAACAAGGCCGAATTTTTCGATCGCTATGTGAGCTTGGATCGCAATGATCCAGAAAAGGCGCAAATGTTGGCTGCCTTCTTGGCAGACAAGACATGCAACAACTACATGCAGAAGATTCGGGAGATCTCCACCGAAACGAAAACCGAGGATGAAAAGGCTTCGGGATTTGTGACACAATGGGAGATTGCCGCCAAAGAGAACCTTCCGGTCGACAGCCCGCTCTTGCAGAAGTTGTTGGACGGTCTCAAGTTCGACTACGATTGGAACGAAGCGGTGCCCAGAGAAAAGGTTTTCAAGGAGGCCGGTGAAAAGCGATTCTTCTATGAGAAGAATGCCATGACAACCGAGAAGACCTCCTTCAGCTCCAAGTCCGGTATCACCGCAGCAGGAGATCTCGGCAAGAAGAAGGCGGACTCCTTCTTGAACGACAAGGACACAAGCACCGCCGACCCCGCCGCCAAGGTGAAGATCGAGTTCCCCTTGCATGTGGAGTTGGTCTCGAGCGTGAAAGTGCTGAAGAGCGGCAAGCAGAAGATCCAGAAGGAGCTCAACACAGGCAAGGACTTGTGCCAGAAGCTTGCCACCGGCGGCGGCTACGACACGACCGATCTGGCCAATGCGATTGACACCTTCGACAACTACCTCGCTACCCTGAGGCAGCGGATCGCAACTGCCGAGGAGGTCCAACCTCCTGATGTTACCAAGGAAGTGGTGGCTGAGCTAAAGGCAGAAATCGATATCGCCGACACACATCTGGATGCCTTTAAGAGGGCCATGACTAAGGCGAAGAACCTTCGCTAGCCATGTGCCATCTGCCAGAGGGGACCTCCTGTGTACACGTTTCGGGAAGATTTATAGAAAGGTTTTGATTAGAGTTGGAAGGTTTAGGGTTTTGGGTGTAGGTTACATGAATCATTTATATCTATATATATATATGTATTATATATATATATATATATATATATATTACACATACAAAAGCTTAATATATTAATATATATAGTTATAAATATGCATACATATATGTATATATATATACATACATATTTCTATTCTGTATTATACCGTATAATAAAAGCATATCGCAGAAATTATGAGTTATAACTAAGTATCATGCATATAACAGATCTATGTATAATATGTTGTGTATATATGTATACATAAAACTGGTATACCGACATATCTTAACTTGTATGCACTTTAGTGTATATATGCATTATAATTATACATTATGTATAAATATACATATATATATATATAGTTAACATTGTAGCTTTACTATTAGATTAAAACTACATACAAGCTAGATCAGGGCTAGATTAGCTATAGGTCTATAGGTTACATATAATACATATATACACACGCATACGTATTATTAAGGTATCTATATATACCCTAAACCTTATAGGTCAGCCGTTTGGATTTGCAACCCCGAACAAGTTTTGAGGAGGTCTCCGCCTAGAGTTCCACAGCTCCAGGTTTTTGAATGATGCCCGGATCGCCCTGCAGCCGCAAAATGCAATCAGCTGGCACATGAGTCATGTGTTTGCATGTTCGAACATGCCTGCTATGCATGACTCCGACCCTTTGCATGTATGTGGATGTGCTTGTGTCCATGCATGCATGCATGCATGCAGCATCGTCGGCTCTTGGCAAATGCTTCAGCGATTTACAACTGTAGGTGTCGGTTGTTGTTCTCGTGCCATGTATACATGTTACCAGGCAAGAAGAGACCAGAGAAAGGCGAAAGCGCCGATCGTCGCCTCAGGTCTCGAGTGGAGAACTTGTTTCTTTCAAACACTTTGAGTGCAGAGGAAACTTCCGATTTGGCTCGGGATGCTCGCGACTCTGGTGTCTCCTCCTTAAGGAGATTGGCCGAGATCGGTGAAAGGAGGCAAGATGGCCTCGCTCGACCCAGGGATATTAGGAGGCACCTATCCAAAAACAGTCACTGGCCTCCTACATACAAGTTTCAAGCTCCGGTTTGGGACAAAGAGAATCAACGACAACAAACAGCTACTTTGACATGCATGCTGCCCCACGAGGTTTTGTATGTCATGAACGAAAAGTCCCCTGAGGGTGGTGGCTTAACAGATCTAGCCCATCTCCAGGAGTCTGAGCTTCAAAGGCATGCTCGGGCTGCAGCTGACATGGGGATCGATCGTGAAAGCCTCACCGGGCTCGGGATTTGGGGCGATGGTGTTCCCATGACCCGAAACAGAAACCAGAGCTTGGAGATGCTCAGCTTCAACATCCTCACATGTCAGCTTCGCAGCACAATGCGAATTCCAGTTTTCGTCATTCAGAAACATTGGCTAGCCCGTGGGGGATCTACATGGGATGCTGTCATGGATGTGCTTCGGTGGTCTTTGACATGTGCAACTTCTGGTCAAATGCCAAAGTACGATCACACAGGTCTGCAGCCGCTTAAGGAACCATGGAGAAAACAAAGGGCATTGATCCATACGCCTCGAAGTGTTTTGCTGGAAATACGAGGCGACTGGGCTTTTTTCAAGCAGGTGCTGTATATGCCGGCATGGTGTCTTGGCTGCATTTAGTATGCTTTGACTTTGTACCTGCATACATGTACTTATTTAGTAATTATTCCCTTTTGTAGCCCGGCAGGAACGAAGCCTCTGGTTGTTGTTGGATGTGCGACATTAAGCCTGAAGATATCCGAGAGGTTTCAGGTGAAGCTGCTTGGATGCAGCCAGAGCACAGGAAGACTCCGTGGCAGGCACTCATGGCTGCTCCTAGCATCAGTCCCATTTTCGCAACACCGTATGTTGGAACTGAGTGCATCCAAATGGATTGGTTGCATGTGGTGGACATAGGAATTGCTTTGCAGTTCCTGGGATCCATAATGAAGTACTTCTGCTCGAAGTTTGAAGGGACGTTTGACGAGCAGGTTCGAGAAATGTTCCGCTGCATTTTGGAGTTCTATGATGTCCAGGCCGTGGAATATAGGTTGGATCATCTAAAGCCTTCAATGATCAAGGATCCTAAGAAGAAGTTCCCCAAGCTTAGAGCAAAAGCTGGGGAATCGCGATGCCTGGTGCCTTGGGCTGCACAGATGGCTGATGCTCTTAGGGATGCTGACAATGAGGTGGAACAGACCATGTACAAGTGTGCCTGGCATTTCAACAAATGCTATGAGCAACTGAGTAGCAGAACGTTCGATGCTGCTGTTTTGGCCGAGCATGGAGTTGCATTCGCAAATCTCTATGTCGCTCTGCATGAGCACTTCACGGTGCAAGGAGTCTGCCTCTTCAAGGTGACTCCTAAACTGCATCTCTTTTGCGAAATCAGCTATCGAGGCCGGGATTGCCCCAGTGTGCACTGGTCATACCGAGATGAGGATTGGGGCGGGAAGATGGCTATTCTTGCAGCCAGCAAAGGAGGAGCCAACACCCCGAATGCCTTGGCCAATGCTTTCTTTTCTCGTTTCACCTCGGGGCATAAAGTGCCTGTGCTTTGATATGCCTATCGCCCGTGCAGAAAAAATGAGAGATCGAAAGCTTCATGCATGCATGCGCATGCATGCAGGCATGGCCTTTGCAAGCCTGCAGCTTGAATGTCGAAACTCTGCATGCATGTTGGCTCGAATATAGTTATATATTCATGGAAGGCCGCCGTGCATGGCGGCTCCAGCACATGATGTCCAGATTTCAAAAGCGAGCTTGCATGCCAGAGGTGAGCATGCATCGTGCCTTATCGACAGTTCAGGCACGATGCATGCATGGCATGCAATGCACTGCGACGCATGATGCGAAGTCGAAGAACAAAGTTGGTTTTGCAGCTGCTGTTTTTTTAAGCTAGCTTTTTCTAGGCATGCATGATTTCGATATCATATATGCACAACACATATGCATTGTTCTTTTTCCATGCATGCATGCACGATTCCTACATGATAATGCTGGCATGATCATGCATGAGGAGGGACTATTCCTCCTGGGCGAGACACCTGCAGGTGTCTTTTCAAAGGATGGGCTGAGTGCCCTCCTTGAAATCTACGGTGCTGCAAATGCAAGGCTTCAATATATATGTACATGCATGCATTTATAATCATGATGATACATATATACATGGCATGCATGGTTTTGATTTTATAATACCATGACATGCATGCTCCTTAAACAGAATGCCGCATGTGGAGTTTCTATGCAATCTGAAGCCGATATCGATGAGTCATGCATTTGCATATATATATACATATATCATATAGTAGGATGCATGACTGCATGCATGTGCATGGATCGATATCTGTATGGCATACTACATGTACATTGATATATTCCCACGACACCGAACACATGCTCCCTAAACAGAATGCCGCATGTGAATTTTTCATACTTAACGAAGGGCATAAAATATTCAAGTCCTCCCTACACCTGTTTCCTTAAACAAGATGCCCGCAGTTCATGAACTTAACATGCAACTTGCCATGCCGCACCTCACGTCGAATCTTCCTTAATTAAGGAGGAAAGTTGTCTTCTTTAATTAAGGCGTATTGTCGTTAATTAAGGATTACTACCTTAATTAAGAATGGTTTTCTTCTTTAATTAAGGATTATAGTCTTTAATTAAGCACTATAGTCTCTAATTAAGGGTGCTTTTAAGCGCTCATTAAGTTAATTAAAGGCTGAACTCTTAATTAAGGTCTATTGGGTTCTCTGGGTATTGCGGTATCAAGACGCACGGCGCTTGCCGCTTCGGCTTTCCCCACCCGCCCGAGGAGAAGACCAGGCGCCGCACCTCCCAGGAGAAGTACGCCAACAGCCGCTGGAAAAGCAGCTTGGCGGTGAGGCGTGCCCAGTCCGACACCATGATGGGACAGTACAATATAAAGATCCTGCGACGCTGGCGGGCTAGCATGGACCTCCAAGTCATCTGCGAGCTCACCAGTGCTAGCCGATACATCCTCGGCTATGCCATGAAGTCGGAGCAGGACCGGGAGGCGCAGCGGAGGGTGGAGAAGATCGTTGCCAACCTCGCCCAGAGCAGCACCAACGACGCCGGCCTCAACAACCAGCAGGTCTACAAAGCCGCCCACGCCGCACTGCAGGGCCGAACTACGTCCACCTTCGAAGCCTGCCACCTGCTACTGGGCTATTCTGTGGTCGAGTTTTCGAGGGACAACGAGTGGATACAGGTGGGCCCTCCCGAAACCTGAACCCTGTCGGTGCCCAAGAACCAGGAGAGCGCAGCCTTGCACGCCCCAGAAAAATACCGCCGCGACAAGCTGGACCGGGACCAGTACATGCCCGTGGCACAGAAGCGGTACAGGGAGATGCAGCTGGCTTTCGGGGAGCAGGAGGTGGAGCTGCCGGTGGAAGGTGGCAGAACCACATGGTGCAAATTCGCGGACATGATCTTCCTGGACTTCTGCGCGGGCTTCAAATTCGTCGGGGTGGAATGTCCGGTCGCCCGAAAGCGACCAGCCATCGTCGCTTACCAAAACTTCAGTCCTGACCTTGAACCGGAAGCTTTCTACTTCTCCAAGCTCCTGCTGCATGTTGTCTGGGCGAAGCCCGGAGACTGGCTACGCAACGAGGACGGCGGTAGCCACGCAGCAGCCTTCCAGCGCATTGCTCGCGATATGGACGGGCATCCGGACTTCCTCCGGTCCAAATGCTTCCCGCAGATGGACGGTACCGTCAATGCCGCCCGAAAGATGCAGGCCGTCCAGGCGTCCATGTACATGAAGGCCAAAATGCATCCGGCTCACGCGCGGGACGGATGGGCCAATAGCAAGGTTGCCCAGGACAACTACGAGGACTCCCTTAAGATCATGGAAGCCTTAAAGGAGCGGCACGGGGACGACATCGACTTTTTGGCACCAGACCACGTGCCGACAGGCGCTGCCGGCGACGCCTTCGCGCCAGTGGACGGCGGCGAGGAGGCCTTCGAGATGCTCACGACCGAAAGCCCAAGCCCGGAGACGCAGCACCAGCGCCGAGCCATGGAGTACATCATACAGTATGCCCTGAACCGGCCCAACACCAAGGACACCAACAACAGCGAGCGCCTTCGCATGCTACTGCATGGGCCGGGCGGCTCGGGCAAGTCCGTGGTGGTGCGCGCCGCGGCCCACATGCTCAGACAGGGCGGCATAGGCACCATCATCGCAGCGCCGACTGGGGTGGCGGCCTGGAACCTGAATGGCATCACACTCCACGCCTGCGCCTTGCTGCCGGTGGTCAATAGAAGCTACGGCAAGGCTTGCGACCTGCCGCTTCCAAGCGGTCCGCAGCTGGCAAGCCTGCAGAGCATCTGGAAACTGGTTTCGGTGCTCTTCATCGACGAAATGAGCTTCATTTCTTCCTGGCTCCTGGAACGTCTCGACCAGCATCTCCGTCTGGCGAGAGATATGCCGCAGGTTTGCTTTGGAGGCGTGCATGTGGTCTTGTCGGGCGACCTCTTTCAGCTGCCACCACCCGGGGGCCTCCCGTCCTTCCACAGCTACCTGTGGAACATGTTTGAGCTGTGCGAGCTCGAGGGCAACCAACGAGCGGCGAAGGACCCGAGGTGGGCAGCACTCCTGGCCCGCGTGCGGATAGGGAAGTGGACGGAGGAGGACATCCAGGAGCTGTGTGGCATGGTGGTGACGAAGAAGGGCGGCAAGCAGCCTGCTCCCAAGGCAGTGCACCTGTATCCCACCCGCCAGGCGGTCAGGCAAAGCAACCGGCAGTACATGGAAGACCACATCCACAGGACCAAGACTCGTCTGTACGAGTGCCCTGCCGTGGATACCAGCCTCAGCACCGGGGCGCCACAATCCGCGGAGGCAGCGTGGGCCGAAGAGGAGAACACCGGAGGATTGGCGGCGCTGCTTGAGCTTGCGGTCGGCGTCCGTGTCATGCTCAAACGCAACCTGGACGTACAGGACGGCTTGGTCAACGGGGCCTGTGGCTTCGTCGAGGAGATTGAAGCGGACGAGGAAACGGGCGAGGTCGACAACGTCTGGGTCACCTTCGAGAAGAACGCCGGCGCCAAGTGGCTGGCAGAGAATCAGTGCGACCACGTTGCGATTTCCCGCATGTCGGTAACCTTTTTCGACAAAGATGGCAAGAAAGCATCCAGGCTGCAGTTCCCGCTCGTCCTCGCCAAGGCCACCACCATCCACAAAAGCCAAGCGGCCACCTTGCACGACGGCGCCCACTCACGCCTGGAGGCAACATGCAAACAGCCAGGTCAGGCTTATGTGGCTCTGAGCCGATGCCCAAGACAATCCCTCTGCACCTTGGAGCTCTTCAACCCCAAGGCGCTTTGCTTTAACGAGCACGCCGACTGGGCACTGACCACATTGAAACTCCAGCAGGCCGAAAGAGAGGGATCTCCGTTGTGGAACCGCCTCTTCAGGCCTCCTGACAGCAAGGATTTCTACAAGGCCCGCCTGGCCCAGATGGGCGCCCCAGATTGGGCCGCGATGAAGAAGGGCTTGGAAGAGTCGGCGCTGCCTTGGTGCTGTCCGCAATGTGGCAAGGAAGTCCCTGACAACAAGGCCGACATCAAGCAACACCAGAAGCATTGCACAGCCAAAGCCCACCGCAGAACCAGAGGCAGGAACGCAGAAACCAAGGCCAAGGCTGCAGCCAAGGCCAAAGCCAAGCGCACGGCAACCGCCAAAGGCAAAGTCCACAGCAAAGCCAAAGCAGGGGCAGGCAGCAGCAGCCTCAGCGGGAAGCGTGGGGCAAGCGAGTCAACAGCTGCGAAGCATGGAAGCAGTCCAGAACAACATGGAGAGCAGCAACCAGAAGGAGTACAGCAGCTCGAGGGAGTCGCCTGCTATTTCGAGAGGCAGGAGGAGCTCAGGTGCGGCATCCATGCGCTCAACAATGCCTTGGGCGCTTGCCACTTCAATGTCGTCGACCTCGAAGAGGCAGCAGCAACGTTCCTCGAGGAGAATTGGGAACTCGCAGATGACCCAAGCCTGCACCTGGGTCCTGGAGGCGACTATTCTTATGATATCCGTGGACAGCCAGACCTTGTAAAGCCTGGATAATTTAAATTTACGGTTTCAATACGATACCCAGTACGATTGCAAAGTACAAGCACAGGTTCCAGTACGAATTGGAAATACGATAACAAGTACGATCACAAAGGAAGTGCCCAATGGGAGACGTGCAAAATTCTAAGATTCGATATCCGTTGCGGGGGCGAGGCGGCCGAATCGTACTTGGAATCGTACCTTCACGATTCCAAGTACGATTCCATGTACGATTCCAACTACGATTCGGGGCGGGGCGGGCGGGGCGCCGGGACTGGCCAAATCGTACTTGGAATCGTACTTTCTCGTGTAAAGTACGATTCCAAGTACGATTCGGGGCGGGGCGGGTGGGGCGCCGGGAATGGCCAAATCGTACTTGGAATCGTACTTTCTCGTGTGAAAAGTACGAATCCAAGTACGATTCGGGGCGGGGCGGGCGGGGCGCCGGGACCGGCCAAATACTTGGAATCGTAC